GAAACGATTTCAATCGATTTTATCATTCTCTACAATGATGATCGTCTTTCTGTCTAACAAAGAAAGTTGTTAAGATGAAAGTTCTGTTTGATTGATTGGCTGTTGAAGTTGCCTGATAAATGTCTTAGAAAAATTATTATCTTCATTTACAACACGATGACGAACAAGTTCGAACGTTTAGAACAAATATAAAAGTGAAGAATGAGTGTAATCCATCATGCACTGTTGGTTTCATGTCATTTTTTGCTTAGAAGGACAATATTTGTAAATTCTACTGGTTCACTTCTTTTACAGTCGAAGAAATATATTGAACTGACGTAAGTTGAAGTTAAACAAAGGAACAAACCTAAATTTATCCTGATAATGACAAAAATATCACGATGTAATCAAGACATAGAACGCTTTTACAGAGAAATGAATATTTTTTGATAGTCCTAAAAAAGATGATATTTACAATGTTAACTTTGATCACAGGTATGTAGCTCAGTGAAGTATTATTCATGCAATTGTTTTTCTATCTGTAGCTGACAATTTCTTAAACTGTTCCTTGCTGCTTATGTCGACTCGTAAAACTATGTTGTACTTTCGATTGAATACCGTTTTACATAAGGTGTAATGGACATGATAGCGATGAAACAATGTGGAATGCGGAATACTCAAACATATTTCGCATCAACAGAAATATCTTATGTGTGAATAAGCAAATTTGAACATGAATTTTCCAGCTCTCGGAGGAAAAATTCAATGAGTAATATAGAAATGAAAGTACAGATCATTAGTTTCTGTCTAGGTTGGCAAATATCCTCTGTATCACCACATCAGGAAAGCATCTTCAACTGTCAAACAGTGATCGATCTCATAGTTTGCTTATATATAAAAATGGATAAAATTATTGGAAGCCTACAAGGAATTGCACTCATGTTTTCTTTCAGGTTTATGATCGGAAGCACGCTGCTTAATAAAAAAAACGAATGATGCAGGTTTGACCTAAAACCGTGTTCATGAGTAATAGGTCGTACCGTTCAGCAAGTTTTAACACGCCACATCTTTGTGAATAGAGGATGACATTCAGAATAATGAACTATGTTAAATATCATTTAATACATTCTTGGTTGATGAGATACATATCAACTCTATTGCTGAAACTGCCATAAGCACTTTTACTCCTGCTATTTATCATGTAACAAAGTAACGAGACTAAGAGATTTAATCAGTTTTGATTTCAAATATAGGAGTTTCGTACAAAGAAAGAATTCCTACAAACCCATGCTGTTAAAACAACTTGTACCTTCTTCGATGCTCCAATAAGACAGTAAAAGATTGCCTATCTGCATGTTTTCTAACTCTTTGTTCTTCAGATCATTGCAATAGAAAATGGTAACTTTCAATGTATACATTTAGTAAGTAAAAACAAAAAAGAAAATTTACAAAGGACTACATAAATGCGATACAAAGCAATCTCAAATTTGGCAATGAAGTTTCAGTTAACATAAGAACGATAGAAGATTTCATTTAGAGTCAATCTTGTCCTATCAACAGATTTGAATTATCACTCCTGTTCACAATAGCTGACTGGAGCCTAGCTCACCACTTTTAATTGTCTCAAGTACAGAATGGAGGCCAAATTGCCGTCTTGCAGAACTAACTGAAGATGAACGAAAACTCATGAAAGATTCAAAAATTGTTTGTATCATTTCGAGACGTCGGTCTCCCTGACATGGTTTGAACGAGTTTCTAGCGATTCATCGTTCTCTAGAGCACCGTGATACAAAGTAAAGGTTTTGTTACAGTAACAAACGCACAAAGTATGTAGACCGAATGCGTACACGACCGACTCCAGATGTGCTCTGCTTCACATCGCATTAGTAAGAGTCATATGATATGAATGATTGTCAAGCAAAAACGAATGATTTAATCTAATAGATATTGATTGATATTCTTCGCCATATAGCATGTTAATGAAACAATTTCCTAGGGATGTTCTCTTATTTGGCGCAAGATAAATGAGTATTTGATATATTCTGCATTATTCTTTTTTATATATTTTTGAATGAACTCAACTTGTCAGCTGATTCATTAATTTTTGAATTTGAAGAAGCTTTCATTTTTCAGCGATTATTAAATAGAAATTGAGTTGAAAAGAACTTATTGGATGAAAAAAAAATTCCATTCGATATTTTCTCTTAGAAAAATAACTAGAATCTGTATTTAATATGCATCCAAAACATTATGAATAGTTTTCAATAGCAGATTGGCTTTTTTACTTTGCTTTTGATAGCTGTATTCAAAGAATATTGAAAACTTTAAATAATTATCAAATAATCCTAATTAGGAAAGAGTATAAAAATATAGTACATATAACATAAATTTCGATACTAAAAGAGGTACTAATCACGAAAATAGCAGTAGTAATGACTCAATCCTAATTTCCAGAATGAAACTTCAAAATGATCTAATTCTGACAGTATTTATAAATTTTATTCTATGACTCGTATCACAAAATAGGACCATTCGAGAAAGGATGAGATTTCACATTTAATACAGTCATTTACAGAGTTATTACAAGTCATGGAGTGAATTCTAAAAAGATAAGAATGAATACAATAAGAGTTTTACTTATGTACAAAATTATCGAAATATAAAAGGAAAACTGCATGAGTATTGACCAAACTTATTTTCTTAAAACTTTATATTCAATAAATTTCATAATTATGAATATGTTCGTTGAAATTAAGGCTAAAACATTTTCAACAAAAACACGACATTTGCATTGATGATTCAATCACGAATGCTATCTAGAAAGCTCTTATCATAGTCCGTGCGGAACTAAAATGTGGAACACTTTGTAGCTGTTGTCGCTTATGAGAGAAAAATTATTTTATTCATACCTATTTTGGGACATATTTCTTCACCATCCTTTTACTTAATTCTCGAGAAATGCGATAAGGAAGTAGCTTATATATTGTAACGAGACATTATTAGTATCCGGCTGTGATCTTATATCAATGTCTGTCACGATCTATGGAGGGAATCAAAATGTTCTTCCTATATCTAAATATTCCTTTTAGTTCGAATTGCACAAACATGTTGTATCGTATCAGGCGAGCAGAAAAGTACAACATATTTTTGATGCCGTTAAAAGTAGTAAATAAAGCATCACCTGCTTATTTGGTACTATACCAAAACTCAACAGCCGACAAGCTTTCACAGTGAACATTTAATTGATATTTTCCAATATTTCAAGTTTCCTTTAGTTATTCCTATGTTCTCCAACAGGTCGCTTTTACCTTGAAGCACTGCTCTAACTAACGAACAGAATATACATCCCTGTGCCATATTAACTTTTAGGTATTGATTTATTAGATACCATAGCATTATCATTTTATCATCACTTTGATCATATAGATAGCATTAATGGACTTGGAAAAAAAGAGCAATACAACGAAAAGAGTTTAGTCATTATTTGTTATGCACATTTGCAAGGAGAATAAGGTATAAACAAATTGATACATCACTTGTGTTCATCACATTGTATAATACTACTTGATTTGTTCAGCTAAAAAGTGCCATGCTTGGTTAAAGTTGACCAAAAGATTTCTCGAACACAAAACGAATGAGCTTATTCAATCGAAATTTTGTTTAGTCTTGATATACTCTACATCGATATTAGAGTCTTACGGGACCATTCGACAGGATTCTGATTGATAGATATCATTTATTTTGAATAATGATGACAATCGATGGTAGTCGTCAGCCAAAATCAAACATTTTTTCTGCAAAACTAGAGAAAAAGGGTATTATTGTTTTTTATCACATCTTAAATACTATCTTATCATTTTAAAACATGAAAATAACAGTAGTATCATCGAAGGTTGAGAGTTAAGTCTGTTATCTTAGCTACAAACACAAATTAAAATATATTGTTCAGAGCAGGAAAATTTCCAGGAATTCTAACTTTGTTGAATAGCTCGCATGGTAAGGGATCCTTTTTTGGACGAGTGTGTTACCACAACTTTCTATTCTTGTAAATTTGTCACAGTTCAACTAGATGAAATGAAAATTTTCGTAAAACTAGAACGTTCATATATCTTGCTATAGCATAAGTTTCAGCTCTTTGTCACGATTAAGTTGCTAAGTTATGATAATCCGAAAATCAAAAATGGGTAAGCGCGTTATCTGTGAACAGGTTGTATTTATTACTCTTACGAGAAATATTTTCAACTGATCAATCATTTTCTTACGAAAAACTACTAGGCTGTGGGTTATCGACCATAAGAAATTCGCTTAAGTCTTTTCATGCTGGTTTTCTAGAAAACCATTTTTTCAGACTGACAAACATTTTTACCAAAATCATTTTAGATCTTCTCAGATTATACAGCATATTGGATTATCTATAAAGTAATAATCTTGTCTGTCTTTCAAAGATGAGTGTTAAGTACAGTAAGATCATGTTAAAGATTTCTATTCTGCAATGTAAATATGTATCTATTGTATGAATTAAAATGACTGTACTTTGTACGAAAAAAAAGATTTGAAACATAAAAAATTACTGTTTTCTAGGCAATTCAATATGCTCCATAATTTCCATAGGTCAACAAAAAATTGCGATGAAAACCTTGTTAATTTGGAAAGTTGGTTAATTCACTAGCTCTCAGTGAAAAAACGATTGATCAATTGATGATATTCGCTCGTTAGTTTAATTTTGGAGTCTAACCTACCATACCAATATTAATGATATTAGCTTTAAAAAAAAAACAACCGATTATGACTCTCAAATCTATACGTGCTGCAAATGATATGAATTCAAATACCATTGACAAAATTTTAAAAAAGCTTCTACAATGATATTTCAACATAAGTTCTACAGAGATTGTTAATAAATATCAAGAAATTAAAAACAATTGTTTGGAGTCTTGTAACTAAATATCATTCAATAAAATTTATTCTAAATCTATTTACAACATACAAATTAGACATTAGATTTATGGTACATATTACAATTACACTGAACTTCTTCTCATAGAAAAAATAACTTGAAATGATTCAATAGAATCAGATGTTTTTATTGCTTTTGTTTTGCCTTCATGTTGCTGTCTTTTCCATCGTGCACGTTTTCTTTTCATTTGTCTCCATTCAGTAAATGTTTCCATACAAGTACAAGAACATACAGATGTTTGACTTCCATGCAATAAAGATTGCTGTTGTTGTTGATTTGTTGTTCTTTCGGATGTAATCGGTGGTGTATTTGATCTTTGTTTATTAGTATTTGTTGAACAAATAACATCACCTTTAAGAAGTACAGCTTGACTAGCAGCTTCCTCTTCTCGAAGTTTTTCAAGTAAACGTTCTTGAGAATAAAATGCAACAATACGTATCACAAGTAAATTCATTAATGATGCAACAACAGTTAAACCAATAAATATAAATATCATACAAAAGAAAAAATATTCAGCATGATCGATAAATTTTCTATCACGACCACGTTTTTGCTATTAGAACATGAGAATTATAAGAAAACAAATAGATTTTTTTTTTCTATAAATTACTTACTAAAACAACATAATCACCAAAACCAATAGTTGTTAATGTTATAAAACCATAATAAAACGAGTTAAAAAAAGACCAACCTTCATATTTCGAAAAAATACATGCACCAATTAAAAGAATAACAATAGATAATACTGATTCCATAATCAGTAATTCTCCATCAGTAGTTTTTGTTTGTTTCATATGAAATGATTGTTTAATTCTTGAAAGAATGTAACTTAATATAGAATTAAGCCTTTCTCCTGCTGATTGAAATGTTATTAACCACATAGGTATACCTAACATAGCATAAAAAATACAGAAAATTTTTGCACGTGTTGTTATTAATATTCGATGACCATAACCAATTAATGCTAAAACAACTGTTGAAAAATAGAAACTATCGTAAAATTGCCATTTTTGACGAACAATAGTTTTATTCATGATTAAATCTGATAATTGACGAAATGTTTCATTTGTCATATTATGAGCAAGTTTGAATTTAGCAAATTTTAGTTCTAAACGACGTTGCCTGCAAATAAAACAAATATCAATCAGTGTTTTTTTTTTTAAATATTCTTAATCGAAGAATTACTGATCTATAGATGGCGCATCTTCAAGTGCATCAAATACACATGCTCCAATAATTAGATATGTAAATGTGCAAACAATTAGTGCAGCTGTACGAATATTCTTTTTCTGTACTTGAAATGTATCATTTAATTCTGCTGTTGTAATCGTTTTTTGAGGTATAGTTGAATTTGTTGCTTTTAATATAATAGAACGAGCATCACTTAAATCACTTTTTGGATTCATCACTACAAAAAATAAACATCAATCAGAAAATAGTTACCTTAAATAATCATTGGCTTTTTTTTTCAACTATTATTACCCTTGTTGAATTGGAAGATTAATTGGATGATTAGAAAATATCGAGTGTTTACCGGTATATGTTCGGCTCTCTTCTACTCAAGTTTTTCTCCTTTTTCCTTCTGCTACGCTTCGCGGTAGATAGTAATAGCTGTTCAGTTCAATCTTTTACTTCTGTTAGATGGTTGCTGTGCGTTCATGCCTTCCGATAAGAAACGGAAATAAATCGGGTGACGCTTTCTTCGTCACTATTGTCGACATCACTTGAGAGTGGTGCATTCTCATTAATGAAAGAGCAAAAAAAAGGAGCAAAATTGATTGTAAGTAAAGACAGGAAAATAGTATACATATGTTCTCATAGCATTGAACGAGAAAGATGAATAAGGTAACTAACATTTGTACTAAGGCGACGATGTGTCTCTCCTATTTTCTACTACTTACTGGACATATTGTCTAATCAGTTTAACAACTAACATGCATGCGGATGTCTATCTTGTGAGTCTACTGATGGCATCTAACATGAAGCGAGAGAACTTTTTGTGTTAATCAAAAAAACAGAAGTGATGATGATAAAAGGCAAAAGAGAAAAGAAAAAATCTCTGTCGGATGGAAGATAACGATAACGAGAGGGAGAAATTAGGCTAATCAACGTCTATCAATAGATAGTTAATTGAGCTAACAAATGACAAAAATCCAAATGAACAATACTAATAGCTGTATTCATAGAAATGAAATATTTAATTATAAAAATTTTTGTTTTTCTTGTTTATTTCTTTATGTTCAAACATTGTCTCCTAGAAAACAAGAACATATATGACATTGAGAGAATTGATTAATGTCATGATTACAAACTCATTTGCATCTCTTTTTGCTTGACTACTCTCGCTTCAGGATAATCAAAAGTACTAGTAGTTTTCATTATTATTATCATTATTATTTATTTTCTTTTTTCTCATCATTCGATTCGCATGACATGTAGAATAACTTAAGCATTGAGAACTATCTATTTAGTGTTAAGGCAATAGATAAGTAAGTTTCCATTCTTTAGGCAACAAAAATAATATTTTAAAGAGATTCGGTTGTTTCTTCTTATATTCTTCACCTAATAGAAACCTCTTTATCAGTAACTTTTTGTTTATATAGAAGAGTTACTTAACAAAATGACTTAAGACGTGAAGACAAATAAACAGACAAAGATGACTTCAGCTGTTATAATACATGGTAAAAGGAAAAACTTGTATATCTATATATTTACAAAAAGACACTTTTACATGTCAAAAAGAAGATTCTTAATTTATTATCTGTGAACAAGATTAATTATCAAAACAGAAATGTATAAAAACCAATGGCAACATGGCATAAGAATTACTATAGATATTTAGTAGTAACTCTAGTTATCAAGGTCTTTGGATAACATGTCAGATCAATTTTTCTTCACTTTTAAGTCATTGAAGAAAATCAAAAGTAATCATCTAATTAGAACCAGAATTTCATGATCTTTTTGTCTAAATATTTATATTTTTCTTTTTGACTTAAAGTTAGTTCATGAAGGACAAACGTTTGCCAGAGGTGAAACAACAACGTCTATAGCAGAGAACGTCACATGGCGCAGAACCTACAGAATAATATTTGAGTCGTATAAAACACTCAAGTTACTTCATTGATCGTCATCCACTGAAACTCTGATCTATTAGTAGAATTAGTCATTATTTTCTATTATTATCAATAGTAACCAGAATAGCAGATACTCTATCAACGACTAATACCCCTGGAAAAAATTATTTAGCTGGACTGGATTGAAATTTTACTCAAAAAACAAATACGTTTATTACTCCGTTAAATTGATAACATATCATTTATTTGTTCATACGAGAACTTTGAAAAAAAAGCAATAAAGAGAAAACTTTTGTCTTCTCGTTGTTCAGCTATTTATATTAATTACATTTTAAATCCTATATTTTTATATTTGTTTTATTACTGTTTTGTTTATCATATGGATGTCAAGTATTGTTTTTTATTGATCATTTCATTTCTGGTGTAAAACATTTCATAAGATTTACTAACATGATATTATTGTAAATGAGTTTTGCATAAATAGTACGTCTATGATATATAACATTACACTTCATATACAGACAAGTTTTCATCCTTGTTAAAATTTAATGACAAGATCATCCTTCAGGTCAAGCGCAGGAGGACTTTTTGTCCTGCAATGTTCTCTGGTCTATACAAAATTGTGCATGGAGTTCAATTTTATATTTTGATCAAAACTGTTTCAATCCATTCTACAAAAGTGTTTTTTTATGCATCAATTTGTACAGTGAATTTTGTTCTACAAAAAGACCAGTTGCTTATTTTTTTTTTACATACTACCTTGTAGTGCATGAATTGATAGATAATTAAATTTTCTGCAACACTTGAAAGTCAAAACTAAGTCAAAAATCTCGTCCACGGAAGTTCCCAGAGACTTGAAGAATTGCATTAAAATGATGAAACGGACATTAAAATCGCTGTATATAAAAATTCATTGATTAAAATGAACATTTTCATTTCATTTGCTTGATTAAAATATGTATTTTACTCAATGAAATTTAAATACGTCAAATTCAATGTCCGTTTCATTGTCGGAAATACCATTTTTTGTGTTTTTGATATTGAATTCATGAAAATCATGTAATTTGTTGTTAATTTTTAATTCCATGGGTTATGAAACAACAACAAAGTGCCTATTTTGCTTAGCACAAACAAGCAGTTTTGATTTATTTAAATATTTGCTTACAGCTAATCAACCATTAGTTTTAAAGAAATTCTAAACGTACATTTTGAAAAAGCATCAAATTTTGGTTGTTATTGACTGATGTTGATTCTTCTCAGTGGCTAATAAGTAGAAGATGTAGGCTGCGCTATGAGTAGGTAAAGAGTAGATACACACATCCACATCAACCGATAGAGAATTTAATTCTACATTCAGCACAATTAATTACAAGGTCAGCAAAAGTCAACGAAAAAATGTCAGCAAGGATAACTGGCTTAATTGGATCCAAACTGAGTATTTCGACCTAAATTTAGATCTTTCAATAGTTTTTAGAGAGTAGGAGCTAAGAATTTGACAGATAGTTTTCCATCATCAACTCAGAGTTTTCACAGATGTGACATAAAAAAGTGGGAAGGAATTAGCTCTTTTCTCATCGAGATATATGTCCTAACCTTTACGTTCTGCCTGATGATACACTCTGCAGGTTGAAATATCTATGTTCGACGAAGAATTCAATTCTGTATTGACTAAGGATCAAGGGTCGAACACTAACAAGACATACTCGAATTCGATGCTAATTTTGTTTATATCTTAATTCTGTTGCAATCGAAAGTTGATATTTTTAAACACAAGCAACATTGGCTGCATATATTTCGAATCACTTTTAGGCTGAATGAATAAGTTGTACAATTATGCAGATGAACTCAAAACAATGTATCATATACAAAGACGTATGCTTTAAAAAAAGCTAGATAATTTAATGGATTAAACGTATAGAAATGCAACAAGATTCCTTTGCAGTTCAAAATCAAGATTGGTCTTTGTACATGAGTATGAAATTTATTAATTAACTATGGAAAGACGAGTATATGGCCATTATTTCTCATCGATGATATTACGATGGGTTCAAAAAAGAAACAAATTAAATACGTAAAATTTGTCATGATGCAATAAAATAGATTTCGACTTTATTGGCATTTTTTTTCTTTTTGATCATTACTTTTGCAATAGTTGAATTTTAAAATTATTTCTCGATTTTTGTTTTCTATTATGTTCTGATGAAAATAGTATTATGCAATTAGACTTCATCTATTATTATTCTTTGCATTGAAATATAAATTTTGAAAGTTAAAATAAATCAAACTACTAATTAAAAATTTCAGTTTGTATTCTACGAATTAAAATAAATAACAGCAATTAGAGTTATTGTGAATATTGATTTAATTAGATGATTCATAAACTAAAAGTCTATTTAATCGAATATCAAAAAAGAATTATTGAATCTACAGTAGCCCCAACAATTAATCATACAGATTTAATTTCAATTTTTTGTCCGCATTAGTAACTGGCATGAAGAGTCTAATAGTAATTTGAATAGAGAATTTGTTTCCAAAAAAAAAGACCTGAACGAAACAAAATCCTTACCGTGCTCCCAAAGTTTAGGTTCTCTAGAAGATCCAAAACAGTTGTTTCAACAATCAGAACCCGAAAACCAGACTATCTTTTCATTACACAGAATAATAGGGTAATTGATTCTTTAAAAAACGAGATGCCTCTGAGACCTTTTATGACTGAACAAAGTCAATTCTAAGAAAAGTAGAACAATTCATTTTACACCTTTCTCCAATCGGAATTGGTGGAAAAAGCACTTTTGGGCTTTCCTTAAAATTAATGTAGTTCGTCAAAAAATATAGTGAAAAGCTCCAAGGCATCTCATTTTCTAGAGAACTATAGTCCGTTGGTCTCAAATCCAATTTAAGAAATTTTTTGTGTAATCACTGTTTCTGAAACGATTTTTTGTTATTTTACTACCATACTTAGACGTTTACTAGAAGATACTATAGACCATGCAATGATATAATACTACTGACAAGTCATTATAGTAGATTTATAAATACGGTTTCCACTCAAAGCGGATGAAAACTTAGTATCAAGCTCTATTTTGAGTTGGCATTTCTACGACGCCAAAATTGTTACTGTTCACATATCTTATCGAGCATTATCTTTTCAGTTGTTTTTCACGAGGAAAAATGCGAAAGATACGAGCAAAAGCAGATCCTGACCGATGGAAGACTGATAATAAATCAAAAGCTACCAATTTTTCTCGATTCCCTACAATTACAAAATGCCTCTGTTTGACGCAACTCTCTTCGAAAAGTACTAAACCAAGTGACATCACAAAAGAAGAGTG